AGCTAACCGGATACGGGCCTGACTTCTGCAGGCCCCCGAAGCATGGCAAGGATGTCCACTAAGCTGCCCATCGCCGTCAGGGGTCCCCTCGCTCTGCCGCGTCTCCAGAAAATGTTCTGCGTATCGACAAGTGCTCTGACCTCACCTCGACTCACCCTCTCCACACTCGGCTTGCTGTTTGTTGCTTGCCTGCTATCGGTCGCATCCACCACGCCCATGACACGGCGACAGCTTCACCTACACACATCTCTGCCCTGACGATGCCAACACCATGATGCAGGCGCTCTGTGCACGACGAACGGGCCAGCAATGGTCCTCCAACAAGGCAGTCATTGCCGCCCTGCGAACTCCCCTTGCCCGCCAGCCTCTTCTCATCTCCATTCGACAGCCTCACAAGTCTTCCTGTCTGCATCAGCGACGAGGCTATGCCGACCACCGAACTGATCGACTCGATCTGCCTGCTCTAGATCGGAAATGGCGTGAGAACTGGGCGTCCTGCCAGGAGCCTGCCGCGAGCCACGACAACAAGCCGACCAAGTTCGTCTTGCCCATGTTTCCCTACCCTTCCGGCACTCTGCACTTGGGCCACCTGCGAGTCTACACCATTGCCGACGTCGTGGCGCGTTTTCATGCCCTCCAGGGGTCCAAGGTCCTGCTGCCAATGGGCTGGGACGCATTCGGTCTGCCCGCCGAGAACGCTGCCATTGAGAGGGGCATCAACCCCGCCACCTGGACGACATCTAACATCGCCAAGATGAAGGAGCAGCTAGGCAAGATGCATGGCAGCTGGGACTGGAGCAAGGTATGAGCTCCTCTTGTGTGTACCCTCTCGTCCTTCGCCTCTGACGCAGCCTGCGTAGGAAATCACCACGTGCGATCCCGAATTCTATAAACACACCCAGAAACTCTTTCTGATGCTACACGAACGAGGTCTCGCCTACCAGGCCGAGTCCGAAGTCAACTGGGATCCCGTCGACCTGACTGTGCTGGCGAATGAACAGGTCGACGCCAATGGCTGCTCGTGGCGGTCCGGGGCCAAGGTCGAGAAGCGCCAGCTGAAGCAGTGGTTCTTCCGCATTTCCGAGTTCCGCGACGCTCTCCTCGCCGACCTCGAGGCCCTCGCCAAGGAAGAGGCCTGGCCTGAGAGGGTTCTCGCCATGCAGAAGAACTGGCTCGGCAAGTCGACAGGCGCCACCGTCAAGTTTCCCGTCATGGCCATGGGACAGGACGCCCACGCCGCTATTGAAGTATTCACCACGAGGCCGGACACCTTGTTCGGCGTGCAATACCTGGCTCTGGCATCGACCCACCCTGTCGTCGCCCAGCTGGCAAAGAGCGACCCCGAGCTGCAGGCTTTCCTCGATACTCTCCCTGGCCTGCCGCGAGACTCCAAGGTCGGGTACATGCTGCCCCAGATTCGGGCCGTCAACCCTCTGGCCTACCACGAAGACACCCCAGACGCGACCAAGGCTTCGCTGCCCATTTATGTGGCATCCTATGTGCTCGGTGACTACGGCGAGGGTGCCGTCATGGGTGTTCCGGGTCACGACGTGCGGGATCATGCCTTTTGGAAGGAGCACCGCTACGATGAGCCCGTGCGCTTTGTTCTGGCAGCTTCTGAGGATGAGTCGACAACAGCCATGGCCAATGAGCCCATGGTGGACCACGGCATCATGACGGAGCAAAGTGGCCCGTTCAAAGGCAAAAAGTCCATCGATGGAGGCAAGATGCTCGTCTCCATTCTCGAAGCCGCCGACCTCGCCAAGCCGATGGACAAGTGGCGGCTCAGAGACTGGCTCATCAGTCGGCAGAGGTACTGGGGCACTCCCATCCCCATCATTCACTGCGACTCCTGTGGGCCGGTGCCTGTTCCCGCAGACCAGTTGCCGGTCAAGCTGCCCAACGTGAGCGACCACTGGGCGGGTGGCCAGCCTGGTAACCCCCTCGAGAGGACGCCCGAATGGTCGGAAACCAGCTGTCCCAAGTGCGGAGGCGCAGCAAAGAGGGACACTGACACCATGGACACTTTTGTGGATTCCAGCTGGTACTATGCCAGGTTCGCCGACCCCCATAACAAGGGGCTTCCGTTCTCTCAGGAGGCCACCAAAATGCTGCCCGTGGACCTCTATCTCGGCGGCATCGAACATGCCATTCTGCATCTGCTGTATGCTCGCTTCATCTACAAGTTCATGGCGTCAACAGATCTGTTCCCTTCAGGGCCGGATTCGGAAACGATCAGTCACGAGCCTTTCAAGAGGCTCATCACCCAAGGCATGGTCCATGGCAAAACGTACAGCGACCCTGAGACGGGCAGATTCCTCAAACCCGACGAAGTCGACCTTAGCGACGCCTCTAATCCGAAGGTTGTCGCAACGGGCGCCACGGCCAATGTCAGTTTCGAGAAGATGAGCAAGTCGAAGCACAACGGCGTGGACCCCACCGTCTGCATCGAGACGCACGGTGCCGACGCCACACGCGCCCACATGCTCTTCCAGGCCCCGGTCAGCGATGTGCGTGAACTGGGACGAGGACAAGATTGCCGCCGTCACAGCTGGCTGACAGCCTTTCGAGCACGTCAAGGCACGGCAGCCAGCGTCATCAGACGAAACGCCGGTCGCCTACTCACTGATGGCTCAGGCGTCTGGACTCGATGACGGAGGCAGAGCTGTCCAAGTGGGACACCGAGGCTGCGCTCTGGCGAGCCGTCCAAAGCACCATCACGTCCGTGACCGACTCGTACAACAAGGTCTACCCCATGAACACGATCGTCTCCGACCTCATGAGCCTCACCAACACGCTGCTCGATAGCGAGGCGTCCAGCCCAGTCGTTCGTCGGGAAGCCACGTCGGCGATTCTGCGCATGCTGGCGCCCATCACGCCAGCGTTTGCCGAAGAGTGCTCGAGTCTCCTGCACCCGGGCACGCGATCCATGTTCACGTCGGCGGCGTTCCCGACGGCGGACGACACGGCGGCGCTGCTGCAGCCGCGGAAGCAAACGTGCGCCATTCAAGTCAACGGCAAGGTCCGCGGCGTCGTGCAGATCCCCAAGCCGCCGGCGGGGCTGGCGGGGGATACGCTGCGAGACTGGATGGTTGCCGAGGTGTTCAAGACGGAAGAGGGGCAGACCAAGTTCTCGAGCGGGCCGTGGGATGTCAGGTCGCCAAAGCGGGTCATCGTGGCAAGGGGCGCCAAGACGGTCAACTTTGTCGTGTAAAGTACGTATGTATATGTATACAACAGTGTAGGACTAGCGGGAATACCCCTGTGTATGAGAGATGTTCAGCTTGGAAGAAGATGTTGGGGGAAAAAAAAGAAGTGCTAAAATTAGAAAGTCTATGAACCCATAACCGCTCGCCGCCCGTAGTCTACGCCATCTAAATCTGTCTGCTGTTGTCTACCACACCGCCCAACAAGGACCCTCGTGCCCCAACAGATCCCATGCAAATGATGCTCTACGCTTCGTTCACTTCATTGTCTCGTGTTCTATGCAATGCCCAGCACCCAACTAGCTCACAGGATCCTCTTGACGACGAGCGCGCCCGTCTCGTCGCCCGCGAGCTCGAGGAACGAGCCGGCCTCGAGCTTCTTCTGCCACTTGTTGGCCTCGCAGCGCGCCAGGATGAGCGTCATGCGCAGCGGCACGTCGCCGCTCGACGCGTGCTCGGCGGCGCCGGCGGCGAGCGGCGTAAAGGTCCAGCGCCAAAGGCCCAGTTGAGGATCTGGCGGGTGCGGTCTGCGGGGGCGTGGGGTTGGCGTCGTCCTGGTCCGAGTCGCGGACGGTGCCGGCGACGTCGAGGACGGCCTTGATGCGGTAGACCTCGTCTTTCGGGGCCGTTTTGAGCAGCGACAGCAGGCGGTCGGCCTTGACGCCGGTCGCGGGGCCGCGGAGCTCGACGGAGAGGACCTCGACCTCGGACTGGTGGTCGTGCGCGTGGTCGTGGTTGTCGCCGTGCGCGTCGCCGTCATGGTGTGCGTGCGGCTTGTCGTCGGTCAACGTCTGCGCGAGGCCGCCGTCGACGCCAAAGACGAGGTCGACGTCGACGCGGCCCTTGATGCTCTTGACGACGGGCGTCTCGACCTCGAGGTCGCCGATGCGGTCGCGGACCTCGTCGAGGCGGTCCTCGTCGCAGGCCTCCCACTTGTTGAGGACGATGAGGTCGGTGTAGCGGGCCTGGACGCGGGCCGTGTAGCTCGTGTCGTCGTAGCCCTGCCAGTTCTCGACGTCGAGGACGGAGACGACGCCGTCGAGGACGTACTGGCCGCCCGTCTCGCGGGCGAGGCGGTTGATCTCGAGGGCGAGGGTCGCGGGGAAGGCCGAGCCGGACGTCTCGATGACGATGCGGTCGGGGCGCACCTGGGCGCGCAGGTCGGCGAGGGCGACGCTCAGCTGGCCGACGAGGTTGCAGCAGATGCAGCCGTTGAGGAGCTCCTGGACGCCCGAGATGGCGGCCGACGAGGCGAGCTGCGAGTCGACGGCGAGGTCGCCAAACTCGTTCTTCAGCAGCGCGAGCTTGTAGTCCGGGTTCTGCGCCTTGAGCTGCGGCAGGAGGTTGAGGATGAGCGTCGTCTTGCCGGAACCGAGGAAGCCCGTGATGATGGTGATGGGAATGGGCGACATGGTGCTGGGTGGACGATGCAGCGAGCGAGGTTGTCGTGATGTTTGCTGCGTGCTGCGTGCTGCGTGATGCGTGCAGGAGCCCCCCAACAATCTTGGAGGGGTCAAAACCGACTTTTTGCGCGCGCACGATAAGAAACGGAAACGTTGGGGGCCATTTTAGGTTATCTTAGCGTTGCCAAGAGCCGCATGCCGCACGGGTGCCTAGCGCCCCCCGCCATGTGACGTCAGTTTCGTCCTCCAGGGGAGCGTGCCACCTCCGACAGCCCTGTAATGCCCTGGAACCGGTAACATTAGTCCCCTGTAGGTGCCCCGGGGCCCCCTCCCCTCTTTCCCCCTGGACGGCGCCTGGCCTGGGCCTTACGTCGGTGTTCCCACCATCACCAGCTGGGCCGCGCAATCCCTCGACCGGTAGCCGTGCCAGTCAAGAGGCTTGCGCTGCTCTTGCTGGATGAATCGGATGTCATTCGAGAGGGGCAACGGGGGAAGGGGGGGTCTGGTATTACTTCTTGTCACAATGCCCAGCAGCTGCTCTGTCCACTTGCCGTTCCCTTCTCTCTCTGTGCTCGCATCAACTGCATCTGCCTTGAATCATCACCAAGTTTGAAGCCAAACGAACAAAACGATATCCATACCCACCCCGCCCCACGACGAAAACACGAAGAAAGCTGTGCAACCCGACATTGACAGCCACCGACGCTAATTGTGACGTACGTCGGCGCTACCGTCCCTCGCTATCCTCCGAACGAACCAGCGCGTCTGATCAGCCCAGCCCGGCCCAGGCACACGCAGCCCTGCCCTGCCCGGCGAGATAGGTACAAAACGAACCGCGCCCCCCCCCCGACACAGCCACAATGAACGACCGATCCGTTCCCCGCTTCAACCCAGCGCCCGAGCAAGTCGGCATGCACGAGGACGACATGAGCTACAAGGATCAACTCGACCAAAAGGCCTTTGAGGCGCGCCAGCCCGAGGACGCAAACGACGGCGTGATGCATCCCGTTATTGAAAAGGGTGTGTGTGTTTTTGCTCTGCTCCTTTTTTTTCCTTTTTCTTCACGCTCTTTTTTCTTCTTCTTCTTGCTTCACGGACAAGCTGACAGGGACCAGTCGTCGAATACGTGCCCGTCGCGGCCAAGGTCCTCGGCGATCCCAAGGCCGAGAGGAAGGAGAAGGACGACAAGGCCAACGAGAACCCGCCCGGCCCGCCCGAGCGGCCCCTCGACGACGATAAGATTGAAAGCTTTCTGCGCGGGCAGCACAAGAGCATAGGCAAAGACGGCGTGTCCCAGTGACGGCCTGCGCATGATCGATGGACGGCTGGGCTTTGGTGCTGCGCACCAGCCGATGAGCACGCGACACGCTTTATGACGGGGGGTCCTCGGGCTTTTCCTTTGTATTTGGTATCCAACATCTCTTCAATTGACGATTGCATTCTATTTGTCTTTTTGTTTGCAGG